GTAGTATGGACATTTTAATTATGTCAATTTTTCCAGTCCACGAGCCCTGTATATGCTTCTACTTATTTGTATCTTCCTCTATTTCCTTTCTCAATGTCCTAGAGTTTCCCAAGTATGGGTCGTTTAACTGCTTGGTTAAGTTTATTCCAGGTATCTTATTTTATTTCTGTTGTTGCAGTGGTATTTGGGATTTTTTTTTAAAGTTTCTCTTTCTGAGCTCATTATTGGTGTATAAAAGTGCCATAGATTTCTGGATGTTAATTGTGTATTAGGCTACTTTGCCAAATTTAATTATTAAATCTAGCAGTGTTTTGGTGGAGTTTACAGTTTTCTATGTACAATATCCATGTGATCTGTGAATAATGAGAGTTTTACTTCCTCCTTTACACTTTGGGTGTCTTTAACTTTTTTTCTTCTTGTCTGATCTCTGTGGCTAAGACTTCCAGTACTATATGTATACATAAAAGCCTAAGTGACCATTCTTTTAATTATTTTCATACCTTCTCCAACTGTCCATAAGTAAAATTAAGAAGAGACATGACAAGAGTTTGGGATTATGCAGAAAAACCAAAAGAATAGAAAATAATGTGAGCAAATTACTCAAATTCAATCCCAGTCCCAAATTTCATATTTCCCCAAAAGGGAATATCTCAGAATATTGAATGACAGGTTATAGCCAACATATCAAGATGAAATAATTGCTTCATCCTAAAGTACGATGTCAGACCCAAATTCTTATTTTTTACAGAAATGACCATAAAATTATTGGACTGCTGAGGTCCTCCAGCTCCAATGGGCAGTGAGTAGGGGTTGCCTGATCCCTTCTTCATGCTCATTTAGGTGTGCAGGGTCCTCCAAGAATCCTGCCAAGAGAACAAACCACTGTCTTACCCCTGCAGTGGTGAGGCTTAATGACTGCAGTCTGCCAATGCTTCTTTCTAGAGAAGAATATTCCAGCTGGCTACTTTATGATGTGGCAGTATTAAAGACAAACTGTACATGAATGTGCTGATATGAACATTCATTTTCTTATTTTGAATTGTTCTTTAAAAATCTAAGAATTCTACTTTACTCTAAATGGCTATTACTTTATGAAGTATCAGTAACAAACAACAAAGAAAATGGTGTAGGTACATGAGAATCCTGAGCATATTATTGAGTTTCCTGCTGCATGAACATTATTGTTTTGGACAAGCAGGAAGCATCATTATCAAAGGACTTCATGACAATTCCACTGCCATTCTTATACCTATAGATGATTAAAAGAAAGTATATTAAAAAAAGAAGACAATCAATGACTCATAGTATAGCAATTTAAGATATTTTTATTCCTCTAGTACAAGTGGTTGATAATGTGTTCTTACAAACATGATTCAACTAATTCTTAGGATTTCTATAAATATTTCTATGAAAGTAACCTTTCAGCCGAAACTGGTTTGACTCAGTGGTAGAGCATCGGTCTGCGGACTGAAGGGTCTCGGGTTCAATTCTGGTCAAGAGCATGTGCATTGGTTGCGGGCACATCCCTGGTAGGGGGTGTGCAAGAGGCAGCTGGTCGATGTTTCTCTCTCATCTATGTTTCTAGCTCTCTATCCCTCTCTCCTCCTCTCTGTAAAAAATCAATAAAATATATTTTAAAAAAAGAAAGTAATCTTTCAATGATATCCTTCCTATTAAAAACAGGATGCATTAAGAGCAAAATAAATTCGTGTTCTTTAGGAATAAGTTTTATCTACTCACTGAATTCTGATATCAGAAATAGTAAATTTTGCTTCTTCCTTTCATTAGCACCACTATTCTGCTTTATTGTTCTTGCTTAGTAATTCTAAAAATCATGGCAGTTTTCTAGCACATAGCTGTGTGTGTGAGATAAATTACTCACTCAGTGATTGTTATATGAATGGATGAATGAACAAACCATAACTCCTTAGAAGGAAGACAATGAGATAAAGCCACTTCCTTTTTCTTTACTTAGGTATTATTTCAGGACAAAAATTATATGGCCTAAGGCTCTCACTTTGACAATGCTACATTTTAATTTAGGAAGATTAAGAGCTTACCTGGTATATAGCTCTCATTTGTTCAATCCACTTGATTTAATTGTACAATGTAAAACCCAATTCATAATGGTTCTCAGAATAACAATATTTTGAATGGCATGAAACTAAAAGAATATTTGATTGTTACTTTTGGGGATTATAAGGCTAATGAGTGAGAATAACTCTATGCCCCACTTTAGGTGATTCATATGTCATAGGAGGTAGTGATCCAGCTACTGTCTATCCTAAAAATAAATAAATAAATAAATAAATATTCAGAGAACATATACTGAGTCCAAGGCCTGAGCCAGATGGACTCTGTTAGGTTATATTAAAAAGAATAAGACATTGATAGCTAAATAGTTAGAGATAGCAATGTATCCAGCTTTTTTTCAACGTTAAGGTGGCAAGAATTTTTGAGAACAGAACTTCCAAGAAAGCAACTTCATAAATGTTCCCAATTGGAACATGGATATGATGGCTAGAACCTCCGCAGTCATTCTGAGACTATAAGGGGTCTTGAATACAGTGATATGACCAAATTTGTTATTTAAGGAGGGGAAACCATCTCTGGAGATCAGTATGGATAAAGGATTACAGTGAAGAAGAGCTTTGGGTTATATTATTTTCTTTGTATATGAAAGCTAGTGAAGTTTGATGACAATTAAGTTATAGAATCAATAAAATAATTAGGTTATAATGAGTCTTATAGAAGCAAAGTCAGCTGTGATATTCTATTATATCAGTGATATCAAGAAGCCTCCTCTGTTTCCATATACAATATTTCCTACACTGAAGGATCTCCTACAATATAGCTTGAAATTGTTTTAGTAGATATAAAAAATAAAAAAGTAAAGGCTCTGAAAGAATTAACACACTGACTTAAAAGTCATGCCAGCTAGTAAAATACAGGTATCAAATCCATGCCTAAGATTCCGTTTCAATGGGAACTGTCAGAAGAAGGCAGGGAGGTACTTAGTACCTATAGTAAGAAGAAGTAATTATAAAGAAGAGAAGGGGGATGCATAAAAGGGAGGTTATGAATACTAAAAAACACACCTATTATTTCAACATTTTGTCTTTTGAGATGGCTCTGGAAGATGAAATGTGGAGGAAGCATTTTGTTAATAACTACTAGTAATCCAATTTAATGATTACTGCTTGCTAACCTATAATGTTCATAACAAAAATTATAGTCCTTGCTAATGTCCTCAAAATAAAGTAGGGGCTGGCTGAGTTTTGATATGAGAGTAAAGAAAGAGGAAACTAAAGATGCCTAAGGAAGACCGGGTTCCCTTGAGGGCCCTGGAAAATGAGTTTTTGGTGTGGAGGAGCAGATCCTGTCACTTCTAGGAAACTAATGAACACCAGAGAGAGGGGTGTGAAATTGATGACAGACTTTACCTTTGCTGTTTCTAACCTAGTTATGGACCAACAGAACCAGAGCATGATTTAGACAAAAAGTGGGGATCTAATTGACAGGGTAAGAAGACACAAAATCAATTTAGATGATCTACAAAGAAGAGAATCAGGTTTGACAATTTTCATTTTCGTCTGTTGACAAACAGTTTACCATCATACAAAATATATCTTTCACAAGGAAATATCTTTTTAAAAAACATACTTTAATTTTTTTTTTTTTTTTTTTTAGAGAGAGGAAGGGCGAGGGATACAGACATAGAAACAATGATGACACGCATTGTTCTACACCCGGCACGCCCCTTTCTGGGGATGAAGCCCGCAACCAGGTCCTGTGCTCCGTCCAGGAATTGAACCTGACCTCCTGGTTCCTGGGCCGAGGCTCACCCACTGGGCCACACGGCCGGGCTGACCCTGCCTAACAGCTCTGAGCTGCTTTTCCATCAACCAGAACACCGCCCCCCTTTCCGCAGCGCGCACCCCACCGCGCACGCGCCGCTCCCTGTGCAGGTGCAGCTGAGGGCGCATGCGGCTCTCCCGCCGGAGAAACACCGTCGGCGCCCGGCGATGACGTAGAAAGGCTGCGCGGGGATTCGGCGCAGACACGTTCTGCGGGAGCCGGTGCCGGCGCCGGCGGGTCGCGGCGATGGTGCGCTGCGGTTGCGCCTTGTACAGGAAGGTCCGTGACTGGCGCCCCCTGCGCCTGATGGCCCAGGGCTGGGGCTCTGGTCCTCCTCTCCCAAACCCCTCTTCCTGTTTGGGGGTCTCTCTGCTGCTAGTTTTTCTTCCGTCGTCTTCTCTCGGGGTGGCCCGGGGGCGGGGGTGTGTCTCCCCTGCTCGGTGGAGACGGTGGTTGGGGGACCCGGTCTGAGGTTCTTCTGGGGAGTTGTGTGACGTGGGATGAGGAGCTGGGGCTTATGCCTGCTTTCAGACCTGCAATACCATGTACGTGGAGTGTAGGTTTGTCTTTTGCTTTTGGCTCAGATCGTGTACTTCTAAGAAATAGTATTCGTAGTCCTAAGGCCGTTTACGTGTACATTTTATCTTCAGTGCATTGTTCTTAGGAGCTTTCTAAAGACACTTTTCATCAGTGCTAGCAGGTAGGTGCATTCTTATCAGAGAGGAAGGGAGAGAGAGAAAAATGAAAATATGTAATAATAGGCTTGCCTTCTTGCAAGAAATTTAGGTCATCTTTTGTGTAGTGTCGGTTTTAAAAGCAAACTGTAAAAAATGTAAAGTTGCTTCAAACTTAAAAGCCTTTTTGAGAGCCGTACTAGTAATGCTTTTTGAAACTAACCAGCATTGTAGTTTGGGTATTACCTTATTACTAACGATGAGATTGGCTATTTCTTTTAAGGTTGGGTTCTAAGTCTTTGAATATGTTCAATCTAAAGCAGTAAAAATGCACAAACTACTGCATTTTGTTGTGGATCAGTTATTAACTTGTGTAACCTTACTGCCATAAAAAGTCACTTCCAATCAGTGTCACTTGCAATTGGAATCTAATTCTTCACTTCCAGGTGATGCATTTCTGACCTAGTCTCTCCAGAACCGCAGCATAAGTTCACGTCCAGAGAAAAATGCTTTGGTTGGCCCTCAAGTTTATCTTTTATATACTTCTTCCACTCTATTCTCTTACAACACTTTGTTTTATGAATACATTTGCATACTTAAATGAGTCCCTGCACTTTGATTCTTTGCTATGACCCCATGCAACTTAATCTCAGGTCTGAACTGCATTAGCATCAGCAAGAGAGCTTTTGCTAGATGTCCTGGCTTGACCTAGCCTCCCCTCCCCTCCTCCAGAGTATATCAGAAAGGTCATCTGAATAGATGTATTTTGCAAAAGGTTTACAGATGTTTTCGATAGTTGCAACTACCTTAGATGACAAAAGATGTGAAGATTATTAATTTAAGAAATTACTCTGTAAGAAATCTTGATAGTCTGAGAGTTAATACATAGGCTCTTTACCTGCAAGAAGGTCTTGATTTAGTCAGGGAAACAAAAGTAAATACTCAATGCTGTATAAGATTTCAGAAAGTGTACTAATACCAACAGAGGTATAATCAAGTGACTAAGAGGTGGGCAAAGTTGATAAGTGTTGATTGAAGGAATTAAGAAAAGACATCAGCAAATGGCATTCAGGTGGGTTTATGGTAGAAAGGAACAAATGACAGAAGTAGAGGAGAAGCATGAGCAGAGTGGCATGGAGGTGTGAAAGTATAGCTAGTAGTACAGAGCAAAAGAGGAAGAGCATAGGGGTTGAACGAATGGAAATGAACTGAGGGTAGGTTAAGAGTTTTGAATATAGTATTGAGCATTTTATTTTTTTAATATATTTTTATGGATTTTAATATATTTTTATTGAGACTCATTGATTGGCTGCCTCCTGCACACCCTACATTGGGGATTGAGCCCACAACTCTGGCATGTGTGCTCTTGATCAGAATCAAACCTGGGACCCTTCAGTCCACAGGCTGGCGCTCTTATCTACTGAGCGAAACTGCCTAGGGCAGTACTGAGAATTGTAGACTTTAATTCATAAACAGCAAAACATACACAGGCACACAAAAACCCTTGAATAGTTTTTAGATAAGGGAGAAACATGCTTAGAGATCCATTTTTGGGAAAATAGCTCAGTCAGCAAGATGCAGAATGGGTTGAGGAAGGAGTGACTAGACCCTGATAGGCCAGTTAGGAGCTAATGTAACAGTTAAGGTACTAGGGCAGTTTATACCAGGAAGGAAAGAGCTAGGGCTTTGGGAAAAGGAGCAGGTATAATCAAAGATTCTCATATGTAGTCTCCATGAGTGGTAAACTATGTTCCCATTATTTGAAAACATTGGAGGAACAGACTTGACTTAAGAAAAAGTTTGGTTCTGTCATAGTAACATGTATTTGAGATGACTTATCCTTTCAATACCCAAGAACAAGTTACATATTTGAGGGGTCTCTAATGTAAGGTAAATACAGATCTTGTTCTCAGTTGCTCTAGCTTACATCTTGGTGATTTCCAGTAGACATAGAGACTATCTCACCTAGGTGGTAGTTACTGGTACAGGCTGGAATCACCCAGGGAGACAGTCTTGTTGGAAAAGTGGACCAGTGTCAGAGACCTTGAGGGTAGGTGGGACAACAGTTGATAAGGGGGAGGGAGAGATAAAGGTTTTAAGAGTTAAATGGGAAGAGGAGGTCAGATAGGAGATGAACTGAGAAAAGACTTTAAATTTTGCATCCAGGAAGCACTTTTTTACTTTTTTAGGCATTTTAGTGGCAACAAATAACTATTAATAGAAAGTAGTTCTTATTGGTAAGCGCGTTTGGAGTACAATTGTTCTCTTTCTCTCTCTTTTTCAGTATGGAAAATTCATTGATAACCTTAGACTCTTCACCAGGGGAGGAAGTGGTGGAATGGGTTTCCCTCGCTTAGGGGGAGAAGGTGGGAAAGGTGGTGACGTCTGGGTTGTAGCCCACCAAAAAATGACCTTAAAACAACTTAAAGAGAAATATCCTCAGAAACGGTTTGTGGCTGGAGAGGGAGCAAACAGTCGGTGAGTATTTATTGAATGACTTTGATTTTATGAAAGTAATCCCTCCCAGAAGGAAAAAAATTAAAAGATAAAGTTGTAGTTAAGTGATTTGAAGTAAATTATATGCTGTATTTGTAACTGAGCAAAAATCTTCATTTGTCTCAACTCTAGTAAAGGTAAAAGATAGCTAGTAAGAAATGTTTTGGAGCATTTTTTATCCTTTTCTTCTCCCAATGTCTGTTTATATTTGTTTGCACTTCCTCTGTAGAAACAGAAAGTGAATTCTCACTGTTTTCTTCTTTTCGGAAACTTTTCTCAAATCTCAACTAAGCTACTCCATCCCATCAGTAGTTCCACCAGCGTCTTCCAGGCATGCTGAAAATTTAGAGCCTGTTTCACTGATATCTCTTCTATGTTTTCCCTTTTGCTTCTGTTTTTTTTCTTTCTTTATTTTTCATTAGTGTTGTTTTTTCTGTGGAACATACTATGTTGGCCTTAAAATATGAGAAGAATTTTTTCTTTTGTTATAAAGAAAATGAAGAAAAAATTCTTAAAGCTTCCATTAAATTGCAGGCTATGATTCCTCAGGCCTATCTTATTCTGTTATTCCATAGGAGGTATTGGTATAACAGCTAGATTTTTTTTTTCCCCCTTTCTGTTTTGATATGTTTATTTGTCATAGTTCCAAATGATGAAATGTGACACTTACTTGGGGTTGGATAAAAGTAAAGGAGAGAGGCTGGGATACTAAACACCCTAACAGACACTCCCAACAACAAAAACAACCTCAAATTATCCTGCCCAAAATATGCAGCAGCACCCCTGCTTGTAAATAAATCTTTGGAGAAATCCTTTAAATTTCTTTTGAGCATTTTGTTTTATGAGACTGTTTTGTAGGACAAATTTTGAGAGCCTTATATTTGTTAGAATTCAGTAAGCTTTGAATACAGAATGTTATTTTAAAGTGTTTAGATCAGTGGTATACTTAAAGATGGTATACAATGTTTAAATGTTAAGAGAGATTTAAATAGAACATATTTCTTACTGCATTGTGTGTTGAATTTTTAGAACAGAGAGGCTCAGATCTAAAGGATTAATAGTAACCAGCTGGATGAAGGGGAGAAAAAAGCATTGCAGAAAAGGTAACATGAACAAAGGCCCAGGGATAGAAGACAATTAGCTGTATAAGACACTAAAAGAAGACCAGCGTGCCTGGAATGCAGAAAACACAGAATATAGAGGAAGATAGGTACAGGCCAGACTTTAATTCAGACAGTCATTATTTATAAAATATTGCAATATTCTCCAATTTGGTCTCCTGTCTCCAGTCTTATTCATCACCTTCAATCCATCCTTTATCTAGTTACTCCTAGAGTGATTTTTCTAAAACATCATCTTGTTAATATCACTTGCCTACTTAAAATCCTTCAATGTTCCCTAAAGTAATCTTCAGACATTCCAACAGAGCATATCTGTCTCTTCATGATCTGGACTACAGTGTCTTTAGTTCACAACATGTTACCGTACTTGTAGTAGTGTTATACTAGAAATAGCTGTTATTTCTCCAAACAGCTTGTTCCTTCCTAATCCAGTATGTGTGTGTGTGTATATACACACATATAAATATACATATATATTTGATTGGCCAACAGATTCTTTTCTGCCTTGTCTGGCAAAGTCCTATTTCCCTTTAAGTCTTGGTTTAAACACTACTTCCAAAATATAGATAATTGAATAAGATTTTAATTTCACATATTTAATAACATGTCCACTAAAAATCAGACTACTTTTGTTCATCATGAAATCACCTCCCAGTAAACTGGTTTATGCTTGCTCAACTATGAACATTATCAAATACTATTTCAACTATTTAAAAAACTCCAATGTTATTCTGAAATTTGAGTGTCAGTGTTTTTAATAAGATATTTAATAGAAAGTTCACCAATGGTAACGAATAAGAATGAAGTTAAATCTTGCCTCTACATTCTAAAAATTGCAACATACATCCCAATAAGAGAAGTGTTTTATTAAATCTTTCTTTACTATATTTCTAATTCACCCATTACTGTCAACCCAATTCATTCAACTAATGTTAATTGAGTATCCACTATGTACTAATCACTATACTAGATGGATAGGATACAATGATGATCTAAACTATTATGGTCTCTCCTTCTGCAAGTTACTGTCGTGTAGTGGGAGAGCAGACATTAATCAAAGACCTGAAAAATGAAAAATTGTAACTGACAAGTCACATGAATGAGAGAGCTTACACATGTGTGTGGGTGTGGGGATTCTGACCTCGTGGTGTTTAGGAATAAAAAGGTTTTATAAAAGGTCACCTATAATTTCAGAAATAACCTGAATTAACCTTTTCTTAGACTTTTCTGTGTGTTTACACAAATGTAATCTTGTGTGTATGTAGATAGTTAGGGGTACAAAAATGAGAGGACAATATTTTGCAACCTGTTTTCACTTAACTTTTTTTTCTATGCTGTTTTTACTATGGCTGCAGAGTATTATAGTATTGGAAATAATATTATTTTGTCATTCATCTATTTATGTAATGATTTTTTTACTGTTATATTCAATGTTAATACACATTCATGTATTTATAGTAGTTTACATGTTTGTTCAATTATTTTCTTTTAGGATAAATTCTCAGAAGTGAATTTATTAGTTACAAGTTTGTAGCAGTTTATTCTCTCATGAGCAGCTAGATGAACCCCCTATAATTAAAGTACTCTCAGTTGAGGTCAGTTTTTTAAAAGTTTTGTTATTCAATTGATTTTTCTTTTTCTAGTTCAGTGGTCGGCAAACTATGGCTCGCAGAGCCACATGCGGCTTTTTGGCCCCTTAAATGTGGCTCTTCTACAAAATACCACAGCCTTGGCGAGTCTATTTTGAAGAAGTGGCGTTAGAAGAAATTTGTTTAAAAAATTTGGCTCTCAAAAGAAATTTCAATTGTTGTACTGTTGATATTTGGCTCTGTTGACTAATGAGTTTGCCAACTAATATTCTAATTTATTTGTGTGCATTTCAGGTGTATAATACATTAATTTATTATGATTTGTAATGACTTTTGGTGGTTAGCTTGGTAACTTAAATTATTACTTAATATTATTTTTATTGGGATATGATAGTCTAAAATGCAAATAAATAACTAGGGATAATTTTACTTTTCCTTTATTATTGGCCATTTAACATCTACATCAGAAGAGTTGGTTGCCAGTCTTCTTCTTCTTCTTCTTTCTTTTTTTTTGCCAGTCTTCTTTATAGGCCATTATATTTCCTTGAAGCATAAGCCATTTCATTTTGTGGGGTTTCCTTATTTTATCTTAGCTTTATGTATTTACTTATTTGTTTATCTATCTATCTATCTATCTGTTTTTTTTTATTTTTTTTTATTTTGTAGTGTTAGTGCACTGAAAGGCTGCAAAGGAAAAGATTGTGAAATTCCTGCACCTGTGGGTATTTCAGTAACTGATGAAAATGGTAAAATTATAGGTAAGTGTACTTTAGATTCTAAAGTTGTGTTTGGGAGTTGTGGGGAATAGCGCCTCTTGAGGTTTTTTTTAAACATTAACTGCTAATTAAGTGAAGTTCTTATATTAAAGAACTTTTAAAATGTATGTAAAGACTGTTCAAAATTAACTGCTAGATTTCAGATTATTTTAAAGATGTAAGAATATTTAACTTGTTTTTAAAACATAAACTAATCTCTTTCAACTGCATACAAAAGTATTTTCCAGGGTCAAGCTTTTTTTTTTTTTTTTTTTAATTGATTTCAGAGAGGAAATGAGAGGGGGAGAGAGAGAGAATTGAACCACCCCTTCTCGTTCACAGGTCGATGCTCAACTAGTGAGTCACTCTGGCCAGGCCAGGGTCAAGCTTTTAATAGAAATTTCTGGTATCTGTTTCTGAAAGAAAAATGTCATTAGTGGATTAGCTTCACTTACTAATCTTGGTTCTAAGTGTCCTTATCTCTCTTTTAAGGAGAACTCAATAAAGAACAAGACAGAATTTTGGTAGCTGAAGGAGGACTTGGTGGTAAATTCCTTACAAATTTCTTACCATTGAAAGGTCAGAGACGAATAATTCACCTTGATCTAAAACTTATAGCTGATGTAGGTCTAGTGGGGTAAGTATCAGTCATATCTTTATTTTTATATTTCCAGATAGTTCATGAATAGAAATAAACATTAATTGTAATTTGGGGCCAGCATTATTTCTCTATTATGGAATTTGTGCATTGTTGGTATACTTAGAGAATATGCTGTTAAATGTAGTTATTTTCACAATGTCATCAGAGTTTCATATTGACTATTCATATATCAAAGATCATAACAGTTGAATAGGCTAGTGAAATGTTAGTAATGAATAAAGAAAAAGATCAATCAAAAGCAGTAATATAAGAAAGCAAAACAATGTAACCAGATATTAAGGAATAAAATAGAAATCTGAACAACCCACGCTTTTAAAAGTATAAAAAGAAGGGAAAATTATTAAGATATTCTTCTTTTAAAGTATATTTTTATTGATTTCAGAGAGGAAGGGAGGGGGAAGGAGAGAGAGAAACATCAATGATGAGAGTGAATTATTGATTGGCTTCCTCCTGCATGCCCCTTGCTGGGGATTGAACCTGCCACCCGGGCATATGCTCTTGACTGGAATTAAACCCAGGACCCTCCATTCCTGAAGGCTGACACTCTATCCACTGAGCCAAGCCTTAACAAAGGTATTGATGTACCATTAATCTGATGGCTCAAGGCTGTACAGACAGTCCCAACCATCAGACTTACACACTGTTGAGTACCAGTTGGATCTTGCAATAACTGTTTTCCCCTCCTTTATGCTCTGCTCAGGATTTGTCCACTCTCAGTACTGTAGACAACCTTACAATGTTATCCTCTTCCACCAACCTCCTGTGTTTTCGTCAAAACAATGCTGTTTAGCTTTGGGTTTTGGGTGCTTACACTCAACCAACTGGAGAAAGCTAGATTGTAAGATAAAGAAAGGAAAAACTTTAGCTCTTTGCATTTCCCCTCCCTCCCTCCCTCCCTCCCTCCCTCCCTCCCTCCCTCCCTCCCTCCCTCCCTCCCTCCCTCCCTCCCTCCCTCCCTCCCTCTCTCTCTCTCTCTCTCTCTCTCTCTCTCTCTCTCTCTCTCTCTCTCTCTCTCTCTCTCTCCTTTTCCTTTTCCTGGCCCTATTACAGCATTACACAGTGGTCAATAAAAGCCCTAAGCAAAAGGTAGTAAAACTGCTGCCATCGAGTACCAAACTGCCATTCCATTCCTTGCCTTCCCATAGGTTCTCTCTAAGCTCTGTTCAGCTTCCTCTCCAACCATCTCACTGCTTCTTTACCAGACTCTTCACTGTGAGTCTCTCCTCTTTCCATGCTCATCAAGGTCTTACCAGCAGTGACTTGGAGTTCACAGAGGCCCCGTTCCTGCTGAAGTCGTAACAGGGAAAGATGTGATCCTGGCATTCAATCTTGCCATTCACATGTAATTTTCCCCCCAATAAAACATAGTTTGAGGTTTATGAGTCATAGGCTCTGTAATACTATATATTTTTCAAAATTACCAGTTTAATAGGGTTTTATGGATACGGCTGAGAATCCAGCCATTCACTTTCTCATTTGGTAGAAAAATGGGTTTCAAGTTCCATGAAGACACTTTTACAGACTAAGAAAAGCCCAGCAGGGCTGAGTAGTAAAAGTTGGGTGGGCGTAGGGGACTCAAGTGAGACTATTTGTGTCAGAATCTCCAGTCCTCGGGAGGCTAACTAGCTACTCTTGGATACGTTATACTGTCTAAGTTTTTGTTCCCTCATCTTAATAGTGAATGGGGAGTTCTCATCAGAAGATGTTGGTAAGATATTGCATTTGCAGTACAGCACATGCTTTGGATTTATGAATGCTCTGTGAATGAATGGTAACTGCTGTCATGATCATTATATTGCCATCTGATAAGAGGCCACTGTAGTGAAATTCTAAGCTGTTCAGAAGTGGGCTTGGAATTACAGTAAATAATTAGCATATCATAATTCTTAAGCATAATGCTTAACATTTTTCTAGTGCTTTTAAGTTAGGTAGCTATTCTTAAAAAGTTACTACTGTCAATACCAGCATAAGCAGAAATCCTTTTATCAATAGCTAGTCTCAGCAGTGAAGTGAACCTTTGAAGAAAGGTGTATAACATACACTTGGACTGCTATTGTCAAAGCTGACCTTTACATAGGTTGGATTTCGGATTTCGGCCTCTAAAAATTTATTTATATATATATATATATATATATATATATATATATATATATATATATATATATATTATTGATTTTGTATAGAGAGGAAGGGAGAGAGATAGAGAGTTAGAAACATCGATGAGAGAGAGTCATCGATCAGCTGCATCTTGCACACCTCCTATTGGGGATGTGCCCACAACCCAGATACATGCCCTTGACCAGAATCGAACCTGGGACCTTTCATTCCGCAGACCAACACTCTATCCACTGAGCCAAACCAGTTTCGGCAGCCTCTAAAATTTTTTATTCTGTGCTTTTTAAGAAAAATCTCAACTGTCTGTTCTTCAACCATTACCATCCTTTTTCTTCTCATATTTTGATCTTTTGGAAATACAGTAGATGCTTACATCTTTACCATTATGAAAATAGAATATTGGAAAAAATAAGCAAGTCCAACTAGATGATCATGGATAAAAGGTTGTAATTTACTTTTCAAATAGTTACAAGAGACTGGATTTAACAGAATATAAGAAAATACTGTATTTCCAAGGGAAGCATTAAGAAACCTCACATACTCTGGTTCTAAATTTATTATGGAAATATGTTTAATAAAAAAATTGTTAAAAGAGATCTGTTAAGAGCTTATAAATTTTTATAGAATTCGAATTAATATTTGCAAAATACTACATTGTTATTCCTATTGAAAGTTTGGCAGAGTTTTGTAAGAGCTTTCTCAAATTTGAATGACAACTCTGTGAAGGTAGGGATCACATTTGTCTCATTGATTGCTATTTTTTGGTGCCTTTGATATTGCTTGATACAAGTCAATGTTCAATAAATATTTGTTGAATAATTTTTTTATTCAGATATAATTGACATATGATATATATCAGTTTCAGGTGTATAACATAGTGATTCAATATTTGTATATTACAACATGATCACTATAAGTCTAGTTAACATCTATCACCACACCTAGTTATGGATTTTTTTTCCTATGATGAGAAAGTTTAACATTTACTCTTACCAACCTTTAAATATATAATACAGTATCATATAATATTATATAGTAGTATTCACTATAGTCATCATACTAAATATTATATGGTCCATGACTTATATATGTTATAACTAGAAATTTGTATCTTTTGACCTTCCTTCACTCATTTTGCCTAACCCTACATCCCCACCTTCAACAACCACTAATATGTCCTATCTATGAATTTGATTTTTTGTTTATTTAGATTCTATGTATAAATGAGATCATATAGTATTTGTTGTTCATGGTCTGAATTATTTCACTTAGCACAATGCCCCAAGGTTCATCTGTGTTGACAACAGTGGCAATATTTCCTTCTTTTTACAGTTGAATAATATTCTCTCTAAAAAAAGTAAATTAAAATAAAAGGGTTTTTTAGATAGTTTATAAGTAGTATTTTATCAGCGTTTGCTAGAGATTGTAGATTACAGGTATTTTTATTAGTTTCTTTTTGTTGTCCTATGCTTTACTAGTTTTATTTACATAATTTGAATTATTTATTTACAATACTAAAACATTTTTAGTGTCTAGCATGAATTTATTTTTACCTGTTTCATAAGTATATTTTGTTCCTTGAGTTTTTCAAGATTATTTTAAAGTTAACACTCTTCTTTTAATCCCAGAAACATTCAAGAAATTTGCTTTTTAAATGTTAAGAATTCAGAGATAAACAATATTAATAGTATGATATTTGTTACAATGTATAAATTCATTTTCTCATTTCAGATTCCCAAATGCTGGAAAATCCTCTTTGCTAAGTAAAATTTCTCATGCAAAACCTGCAGTTGCAGATTATGCATGTAAGTATAATTTGTTTTGTATTTTAATGTGTATTGGTGAATTTTTAAAAACTAATCTTTCTTGTAGTATGAATAAAATGACAACCCCTGAGGATAGCCTTATGAGTTTGAAATCTCTTGGCAGAATATATGCATTTCCCATTAACCTTTGAAACTTCTGCTGCCCTCAGCAGTACCTAGTACTTGTTACTTACTTCGTTGTATTTATTTTTCTGTTGCATAATTATTTATTTGGTTTAGTTATGATTTTATGAGGCTAGTGCAGAATTGGTGAGGCTTGAAGATAACTGAATGTAAAAGGACTAGACCTGACATAGTGATGGAAGTCTAAATTCTGGCCCACCCACCATGCTTCTTCAAGTGCAACAGAGGAACTTTGAGGCCCACTAATTAGATTGAACTGTTTATATTATAAACATCTCTGTTTGTTCTTTAACAAGTTTATTGTACATAGCAAAGATAATGTACCTTCTATATCGACAAATGAGAACTAATCTGAATTAACTTGTTCACCGAAAAATAATATTTTTTATTTTACACATAATGCTAAGACAGTTTTGAGAGTATCACCATTTGTTTTAGGCTTTATTTATTTTTATTTTTTTCTGTTAGTTACAACGTTACAGCCTGAACTTGGAAAAATCATGTATAAAGATTTCAAACAGGTGGGTATTTTTAAAGTAAGACACTTGTAAAAAAATTAAAGTAACAGACTTCATTAGAAGTGAAAGTACTTGCTTTTGGTACTTGGACTTTATATTTGACTGTTTCTGTGGTATACGGGGGAGAGGGACAGTTGCAAGATTTTGTTTTTAATAGTGAGACTGTGATCAAGTCAATAATGAATACTATCAGTAAAATATTGTATAAGAATGTGGCTTTTTAAAATAGGTATTATTTTTTATATTTTTTAAGAATTTACTGGGGTGACATTGGTTAATAGTTATATAGGTTTCAAGTGCTACATTTGTATATTACATCACATGCCCACCACCTAAACTTGACTCATATTTCATCATCACATATATGATTCCCTTTAACCTTTACTATGCCTCACCCTCCCACCCCCCTCCTGGTAGCCAGCTTACTTAGTCTATATCTTTGAGTTTTTATATGTGTATTTTTCTTGTTTGTTCATTTGTTGCTTTCAGTGTTATGTCCCATATATGATTTCACTTATATGTGGATTGCATGGCCGGGCTTATTTTCTTAATCTCTTTGCTCATTGCAAAACCATATTTACTTCCATGTTTGATATTAAGTTTCATTAACTAAAAACATTGTTTTAAAAGTTCATGGAAATGGTTTTATATCAACTTTCTCTTTAGAAAAGTTTTAGTTGAATGGGATTTTGGCCTTTTCTAACTATTAAAAATTATTTTTCTTTAATAAGGAAGAACTGTAGATCTTTTTTATAATTACACTAAAACAAAAATATGTAATGTACGATCAGCAATCGTGTTCCTTGGTATTTGCCCAAATGAGTTGAGAATTTATGTCCAAACAAAACTTGCACACATTTGTTTGTAGCAGCTTTTTTGGTAATTGCCAGATTACATTCTGGAGATTTGAAACCAGATCTCTTAGTTGTGGGGCCTTTGCATCTGTAATTTATAAAACTTATCATTGTGTGCAATGAGGTTTGAAAACCACAGATGTGGGATAATGGCTGATAATGCTTAACATCTCCAAAGGAAAATAAGGATGCTATATCCTTTACTCTTTAAAGGTAGTCAATAGTCCTCCTGATAGATTATGAATAGGAATAGAAAAGGAACATTAACTACATGTACAATTTAAAACTTAAAACTGCAGAGCTGTATTAAGTAAATGCTAGCTGAATTAATATCTTTGAGAATTTAGAAAGTTGAAATTCTATGGAAACTTCACATTAAACAATGTTATTTATGGAATTCTTACTAGAATTTTGTGATTAATAACTGTCAAATTAATCCCTAAAGTTCCAGATTGTTAGATTAATAATTAAAAATGGGACTCTAATTTCTGATCAGAAAGGATTTTTATTTATTTTAAAAAAAATATATTTTATTGATTTTTATAGAGAGGAAGGGAGAGAGAGAGAGAGTTAGAAACGTTGATGAGAGAAAAACATTGACCAGCTGCCTCTTGCACACTCCCCACTGGGGATGTGCCCGCAACCAATGTACATGCCCTTGATTGGAATTGAACCTGGGACCTTTCAGTCTGCAGACCGACGCTCTACCACTGAGCCAAACCAGCTTCGGCAGATTTTTATTCTTAATACATTTTGTTGTAAAGGTATTTTGGCTTTATAAAGATGCAGTGGTAATTACAAGTCAAGACCTGTTGATACTCGAAATACCATGGAAATTTTTTTATGTAATTCTACTTACCATTTTCATGTATTTATCTTTTTTATCAAACCTTTTAACTTTGTATTAGATATTGGTAGCTGATCTTCCTGGTTTAATAGAAGGAGCACATGAGAACAAAGGAATGGGCCACAAATTCCTCAAGCATGTAGAAAGAACGAAACAACTGCTTTTTGTTGTAAGTCATATGTATATCAATGAAATATTCAACTGAATAAGAAAATCAATGAATGTATAATAGTTTTCTTAAATATTTATAATAAAGTAGTAGTTTATGTAATTCCACTAAGTCTGTTTAAATGGAGTCAGATATCGTAATCTTTGTTTATAATATGGGGGTTATTTACTATATCTGATAAAAGTTTGTCCATACTTGTCAAGGTTTAATTCCTTAAGATTTTCACCATAGTACTGTATTATATAGTGTCCTTTTCCTATTTTATTGGTGGTGGTAGATTATACATAGCTGACTCTCGAACAACATGGGTTTGACCTGTGTAAGTCCACTTACATGCAGATTTCTTTCTATAAATACCTGTACTGTTTTTGATCCATAGTGTTGGGTGTCCACCAATGTTGAGGGCTGACTGTATACATTAATCTATGCCATTTTATATACGGGACTTGAGCATACACAGGTCTTGGTATCTGTGTATGGGTCCTGGAACCAATCCCCTGAGGGTACCCAGGAACTGTAGTCAAGTTTTTGGGGAGGAAAAAATTATACACTTATTTTTGACTGTGCAGGGTGGAATAGGTGTTGGTGTCCCTAACCCCCAAGGTGTTCAAGAGTCAGCCATTTATGACACTGTTCATATTAATGTAAATTGTCTTATCTATATTAGTTTTTCATTGTATTAATGGTTGTGATTTTACCAGAATAATTATAGTTATCTTGACACTTCTCTTTCTCTTGTTTTTTCTTTTGTTTTTTTGTTAATCCTCACCTGAGGATATTTTTTTCATTGACTTTTTTTTAGAGAGTGGAAGGGATGGGGGAGGAAAGAGAGAGAGAGAGAGGAGAAACATTGATGTGACAAAGACACATCAATTGGTTACCTCCCACAGGCATCCCAATCAGGGCTGGGATCAAACTTGTAGCCCAGGTACCTTGACCAGGACTCAAACTGGAGAGCCTTTGTTGTGCAGGCCAGTGCTCTAACCACTGAGCAGTGCTGGCCAGGGCTCTCTTATTTTGAATTACTAAATTACCAATACAGTATAGATTGAGAATTTTTTTCTTTTAGCTTGAGAGAATAAAACACTGTAAAACAGAAATATGTTGCTAATCTTATGTTAAAGGCTGATATGTTTCTCTATTTTATTTTAGGTTGATATTTCTGGATTTCAACTTTCTTCTCGAACTCCATACAGAACTGCCTTTGAAACTGTATTACTGCTTACAAAAGTAGGTTTTCTGTTGCTCTTTTACTGCATTCTACATCTAGTCTAATATATAGGTACATAAGACTATGAAATGACAATAATTTTAATAAATTATATTCCACCTTTACTGTTTGAAGCTTTGATGATAAAGAATTATCTAAACTTGCTGTCTCCAGTTCTTCAGTATTAACCTGCACCTCAAACTATTGCAATCAATAAAACGTTCTTTATTGCATACTTCTCAAACCTTATCTTGCTTGAACTTTTATTCTTACGTCTTAGACCAGTGGTCGGCAAACTCATTAGTCAACAGAGATTCGGGAGCCACAGTTTGCCAACCACTGTCTTAGACTATTAGGCTCTTTCCTGCCTATTTAAAAAAAAATTTTTTTTTTGATTTCAGAGAGGACGGGAGAGAGAGAGAGAGAGAGAGAGAGAGAGAGAGAGATAGAAACATCAGTGATGAGAGAGAATCATTGACTGGTTGCCTCCTGCACACCCCACCTGGGATCGAGCCTACAACCCAGGCATATCCCCTGAACTGTGACCTCCTGGTTCATAGGTTCATCTTTTTTTAAAATAGTTTTTATTGATTTTTTTACAGAGAGGAAGGGAGAGGGATAGAGAGTTAGAAACATCGATGAAAGAGAAACATCAATCCGCTGCCTCCTGCACACCCCCTACTGGGGACGTGCCCACAACCAAGGTACATGCCTTTGACCGGAATCAAACCTGGGACTCTTTAGTCTGCAGGCTGACTCTCTCTCCACTGAGCCAAACCGGCTAGGGCTCTTGGACATCTTTGATTCCATATCTCATTAACTTTTTAAACTTAATATGTATAAAACTGACCCCTTTTTCCCTTTTAATTCCCCCGCCTCCTCCAGAACATTACTGAGTATGTAAGCAGGAAACCTGAATAGGTTTCTTACCACCTGTATCAAGCCCTATCAGTTCTACCAATATATCCTAAATTATGCTGAAGTTATCTGCTTGTTTTCATCCACACTGTTTTAATCATCAACCCCTCTCATTAGAATGTTGTAAGTCCCTCCTATCTAGTCTCTTTGCTTCCAGTCTCATTTCCCTGTAATCCATTTTTTTATGAGGCAGCTTGAGTGAGCTTTGTACAAGAACCAATCTGATGTTTGTTCTCTGCTTAAAATACTTCAATGGTGCCCCATTGCTATTAGGTTAAAATCTAACCTGACTGTGGTGTGTGAGGTCTGGTAAGGTTGGACTCCTTACTTAGCACAGTCTATTTTTCTCTGCCTGCCCCTCTTCCATTCTATATCCAGCCCTATGATTTCTCTCTAACACTATGTGATGTTTCTTATCCCCAGGACTTTGTATATTCTGTTAATGTTAACTCTCTGTTTAACATTTGGAGGAACTGCTAAACTTTATCTAGAGTGGCTGCACCATTGCACCATTTTATAATTGTACTTGCAATGTATTAGGTTTCCACTTTTTCCACATTAATATCTATGCTTAGATATTAATTGTTATTGTCTATCTTTTTATTTTAGCCACCCTAGTAGGAATGAAGTGATATTTTATTATGGTTTTGATTTATATTTTTCTAGTGATTGGTGATATTGATCGTCTTTTCATGTGCTTACTAGCTATTTGTTGTCTTTGGAGAAATGCCTATTCAGATTCTTTGAGCATTTTTTAATTGGGTTATTTGTCTTTTTATTGTTGAGTTGTAAGAGTTCATTATATTTTTGATTCAATTCTCTTATCAGATACACAATTTGCAAATGTTTTCTCCTGTTCTTCCAGTTTCCTTTTCACTTTCTTTATGGTATGTTTTGAAATACAGAATTTTAAATTTAATTTAAGTCTCATATGTCTATTTTTTCTTTTCCTTATGCTTCTTGGTGTCATAGCTAAAAAACTATTGCCTAATTCCTGGTCATGAAGATTTTCTTCTATTCAATTCTAAATTTTATCTATCGATATATGCCTAGTAGAATTCCAGATATTCGTATTTGGCTCAAGATACAAATCACAGCTGTCTCTAGGATGTTATGTAAGCCAAAATATATTGACACATGACCTAACTATTAAACATTTTTCTGAGTTTCCTTTGTTAATTGATTTTGTGGTGGTTGGGATTTATTGCATTTCAGAGATGTGACTGGGCTCTAGATTACCTAGGCCTACAGGTAAAGAAAGATATTAACAAATAGGTAACCTGCTGAGACCGGTTTGGTTCAATGGATAGAGCGTTGGTTTGGGGACTGGAGGGTCCCGGGTTCGATTCCGGTCAAGGGCAAGTACCTTGGTTGCAGGCATATCCCCAGTAGGGGGTGTGCAAGAGGCAGCTGATCGATGACTCTCTCTCATTGATGTTTCTAACTCTCTATTTCTCTCCCTTCCTCTCTGTACAAAATCAATAAAATATATTTAAAAAAACAAAACAAAAAAACACACACAAATACGTAACCTATATAGATATTTTAACAAAATTACTTGGTCTTTCTTTTTTTATTTAAAGGAGTTGGAGTTGTACAATGAGGAACTTCAAGGAAAACCTGCACTTCTGGCAGTAAATAAAATGGACTTGCCAGATTCCCAAAATAAATTCCATGAACTGATGAACCAACTCCAGAATCCTAAAGGTAAACTGGTTCATTCATTTAATGACAGTGTAATGAATACCTGATTTGCGCCAAGTAATACAATCAGTGGAGAAGAAAACTGACAGTTACTGCTCTTTAAAAAAGTATGTTTGATGACAGAAACCATACCATATGAAACATTTACATAACACCATAATGTATAATAATACCAACTTTCAGAATGCGTGATGAAAGGAGACAAAGTAAAAGACCATTCGAGCTGAAGAGGTTAGGCTTCATGAGGAAGTAAAAGTTAAACTGGGTCCTTAGTAAGTTATCTGGATCAGAAGAGGAAAAAGTCAGCATCTTCCTGTAAATCTTTCATCTTAATGTATTTCACAGGTTCTAGAACTCTATTCCCCTATCACACAGTAAATTTAAAACAGCTAATAGTTCTAAAGACGTACTTTATCTGTCTTTGCAATGTCAGCTCTATGGGTCTTCAAAGGAGAACTTGAGTACATGTCTATGTACAGAAAAATAGATGCTGTTACTCCAAAAGGATTTATTTGTTTGAAATTTCTTTCTAAATGGACCACTTTGTATAAAGGAACTTAAAGGGTTTCTCCAGTTGGCTGGTGTTGCTCAGTGGTTGAGTGTCAACCTATGAACCAGGAAATCGTAGTTGGATTTCAGGTTAGGTCACATGCCTGGGTTGTGTGTACTCAATCCCCAGTAGGGGGCATGCCGGAGGCAGCCCATTGATGGTTCTCTCTCATCAATTCTTCTATTTTTCTCTCCCTCTCCTTTTTCACTCTGAAGTCAATAAAAAAACAATTTAAAAAATAAATAAAAACATAAAGGGACTCTCCACTGTCTTGAATACTGAACTTTGCAGAACTCTCTGCTCTACAGTGATGATGCTTTTGTTTTACTGCGTGCAGAAGAGAATTTCACAGATGAGAAAATGTAGGGAGGACAGTAAGTGGCTAACATGTTTTTAAATAGTACTAATTTCTCTGTTTTTATCCCTGGAATAAAATTGGGGAAAATAAATTATTAGGAATAGCAGACAACACCAGAAGATTCTTTTTCTGCTCAAAAATATTTCCTTGGTGCAACTTACATGTTGAAGCTGTCCTTGAGTTATTTTTGGGATGTAAATTTTCTCTGGAATTAGTAAATAGTTTTTATTCCTTAATGTCATTTGCTTTGAGATCATTAGATCTGTTTGCTAGATCAGTGTTTCCCAACCTTCTCTCATGATGAGAATCACCTGGTGGAGTTGTTAAAACACAGATTCCTGAATCCCAACTAAGAAGTGCTAAACTAGAATTTTTGTGAACATATAGGTAAAACTGTATACTTAACTAGTGCTCTAAGACAGATTTTATATACAGAGCACTAAGTTAGGTATGCAATTTTACCTATATGTTCTCAAAAATTCTAGTTTAGCACTTCTTAGTTGGGATTCAGGAATCTGTGTTTTAACAACTCCACCAGGTGATTCTCATCATGAGAGAAGGTTGGGAAACACTGTGCTAGATGACCTAGAAGAAGGCATTTTCAGAGGAAGTACCAGAAGAGACAGTTACTCAAGAGTTTGTGGCTGTTTTGGATCATCAAAAACAAATTTCTGAGTTTTTAGTCTCTGGACTTCTTTAAAAAAAAAAAATATATATATAAATAAATAAATACATATATATATATATATATATATATATATATATATATGTTATTGATCTTTTTATCGATAGGAAGAGAGAGGGATAGAGAGTTAGAAACATGGATGAGAGAGAAACATCGATCAGCTGCCTCCTGCACACCCCCTACTGGGGATGTGCCTGCAACTAAGGTATATGCCCTTGATCAGAATTGAACCTGGGACCCTTCTGTCCGCAGGCCGACGCTATATCCACTGAACCAAACTGGTTAGGGCTCTCTGGACTTCTTGAGGGCAGATGAATCTCAGAAACCAAGCTGCCTATTGGCTTGTCCATTTTCTTTCAGTTCATATCAGTATTGACCCATCCCATTATATGCCACCCCTCTTTCCCATTGCCTTGGTAGCCTTGGAGAGGAAAAAGTAATAGAACATCTCTCAGCCACTGTGGAGTGATGAGTAGACTCATCTGAAATGCTCTCCCCTTGAATCATCCCCATATCTTTCTCAATTTCAATATCCCCAAAGCGACTTGCTTCTGTAAGTAAATCATCTTTTGTGATTCTTTTACTTATACTTAATTTGGTTTAAAATATCTTAATCCAGCAAATATCTACCATGTGTCAAGAACCTCAACATTGTCACTAGTAAAAACCAAGGTTTCTGAGAGCATATTAGAAAGAGAAGGAAAAAGGAATAAAAAATGCTGTTTTTGGTTTCTTGGTTCACAAATCAAACCTTTAACATAGGTCTGACTTACTTCAAAGACAATGAAAACCAGTTTTGTGGTTTTGTGGTTTTTTTGTTTCAGATTTTCTGCATTTGTTTCAAGATAAGATGACTCCAAAGAGGACAATGGAGTTCGAACATATCATCCCCATCTCTGCAATTACAGGAGAAGGAATTGACGAATTAAAGAACTGCATAAGGAAATCTCTGGATGAACATGCAGACCAGGAAAATGATGCATTTCATAAGAAACAGTTGCTTAATTTACAGATTTCTAATACAGTATCTCATAGTGAGCCACTATCAAGAAATGCTGTTAACTAGTTCCAGAATGGATACAATTTAAATCCATTAAATATGTACATGAAATTGTGTTTATTTGAAAACTTTTCCACAGAGTATTATGTATTCCACAGTTATTATTACTAATACTGTCATTTGAGAACCCTATCTTTTTAACTTGTTTATAGTTAAATATATCAATAGTTTAAAAAAAGTGAAAGCTGAAAATGACAATTTACAGTTTTATAGTCAATCTACTTATAATAAAATCCTCTTGATTTTTTTTATGATACTTATAATAAAATCCTCTGATATTTCTCTAGTGAGATCATTTAAAAAAAATAAATGAAAGGATTTCTCAAATATTATTAAAGTGAGCAACTGGGTATTGTTTGTTTTGAGTCTGTCATGTACCTGGTTCAATTATGAAGAGTTCTCATTTTAAGAAAATCTAGCCGGGACCGGTTTGGCTCAATGGATAGAGCGTCGGCTTGGGGACTGAAGGGTCCCGGGTTCGATTCCGGTCAAGGGCATGTACCTTGGTTGCGGGCATATCCCCAGTAGGGGGTGTGCAAGAGGCAGCTGATCGATGACTCTCTCTCATCGATGTTTCTAGCTCTCTATCTCTCTCCCTTCCTCTCTGTATAAAATCAATAAAATATTTAAAAAAAAAAAAAAAAGAAAATCTAAATACCCTAAATTTGAACATAATGTTCAGTGATAACAAAGATCACTGATAATATTTGACAGCAGCAAATAGATTTCAAAAATCAAATAGATTAAAAAATCAAATAGATTTTTGGAAACTTTTCCTTTTCATTTACTTTAAACTTATTTATTTATTTGTTTGTTTTATTGATCTCAGAAAGAGGGAGAGAGAATCATAAATTGGCTGCCTCCTGCACACCCTTCACTGGGGATCAAATTTGCAAACTGAGCATGATCCCTGACAGAATTGAACTGGTGACCTCTTGGTTCCTGGGTCAGTTCTCAACCACTGAGCCATGCACTTAACTGTTTGAACATTTTCTTTTTTAAGTATAAGATTATTTTTTCTTACTTTGGAGCTGATTGGTGTATGACTCGTTTTTTTATGGCCTAGTCCATGAGTGGCAAATTGTGGCTCGCGAGCCACATGTGGCTCTTTGGCCCCTTGAGTATGGCTCTTCTACAAAATACCATGGCCTGGGTAAGTCTATTTTGAATAAGTGGTGTTAGAAGAAGTTTAAGTTTAAAAAATTTGGCTCTCAAAAGAAATTTCAATTGTACTGTTGCTATTTGGCTCTGTTGACTAATGAGTTTGCTGACCACTGGCCTAGTCTTTTTCATTGTCTACTTTCACATTTTAGTAAAGAGAAAATAAACTAGGAAGTGCAAACTTTAAACAATATTATCAATCATAAATGTATTCAGATTATAACTTCTGAGTTTCAAAAATATTTATAGATTGGACATTTTTCTTAATGAGTTTTATTGTAAAATATACATGTTGGTGGTAAAATATAAAATTTAACCAGTGCAGCCTGGCTGGCGTGGCTCAGTGGTTGAGTGTTGACCACTATGATAGCCAATAAATTGAAATCCTGTATTAGTGAATAGAATATAAAGGATTCAAAAGTCTTACCAGTATATAAGACTGATTAGATTTAAAAATTATGAAGGGTCATGATGCCTACTTTCAAATGATCATACACACAGTAAATGGAAATAAGGTAAATGTGGCAAATGTTGATAATGGTTGAATATAGGAGGTAAGTATGAGTGTTTGTTGTACTATTTAAATTCTCTGTACCTTTGAACATTTTCAAAATAAATTATACAGTTGAGCTCTTTTTCACTTCATGCCTTGGTAAATACTTGGAGGGGAAAAACATATTTAAAAGTGTTTTGCTAACAAACCTTACAGATAAATCACATTTAGTCAGAAATATTTACGTGGGTATCCAACTCAAAACTACCTTTAGTTTTTGGTTGTTTTTTCCACTTAAGTTTTTTATTAAAAAAAAATTTTTTTTAAGACTTAAAACCCAAATCTGTACTGAGCTGAAGGTGCCAGAGGAATAGGGCAGGTGCGAGAAAGGGCGGGGGAGGCGGCCTCAGGATGCGCCGCGGCCGGCGCCTCGGTGGGTTCTGGGAATTGTAGTCTCCCAGCGCACTCCAGGTCGGGGCTCCGGGAGAACCTGAGCAGGCTCCCAGAAGCCTCCGGGGCGCTCGCCGGGAACGCACTTCCTGGGACGCGGAGGGAGATTCTGAGCGAGGCTCTCCGGTGTGGGCGAGGGGGCGCCTTGGATGTGAGACGCAGGTAGGTGTGGAGGATGGCCCGACTTCTGGGTCTTTAGCACACGCGGTAGAGGGTTTTCTGTAACACTGGGAGTCACGCGGGGAATCGGGGACACTGGGAAATGCTGACCGCACTTGTGGGCACGGACACGGAGCGGGGAGGGTGTTGGATAAAGCCTTACACACGTATTTCGTCCCCGGGAGTGGGAGATGCCGGAGCGCCCTGCGGGAGCAGCCCGGGGCTGTGCTCCGAGCGTCTGCAAGGTGCCATTTCTGCCTCCCAGCTGCGGGTGGTTGTGTAACGACGGCCTGCTGCGGGGCCAGCCCCCTCGCGGTGCGGGGACGGGCTTGTGCGGAGCGCGGCCCCGCCGTCGCCGGTGCGGTCTCCCCATTGGTCCGGGAAGCTTTCTCCTCGCTCCTCTCTGCCAGCTCCGGGGTTCCTGGGCGCCGCTCGGAGGGAGCGAAGGGGGCGGGGGCGAGGGCCTGGGAGCTTGTTTGTTGGCTTTCCTCTGAAGCCCAAGTCCTGCCCCAGCCCAGGCCTGGAGACCGCACTTAAAATAATCGCCCAGGAACCCCAAGGTGTGCTTTTTATGGTAACATTATCTCCCTGGACGTCGGAGTGAGCAATTGCTCTTGCTACCAACTCACAGAAACCTGCATTTAGAAAATAAAAATAATTGGATTGAAATCTCTTCTGTGCACACTGCGTGGGACAACATTCTATGTGATGATCATAATCAGGCTGGTGATAAACTCTTACTTAATTCGGGAAGTTGCCAGGCGTTTATGAGTTCTCGTTCTCATCCTACCTATTGAGATAAATAGTATTTAAAAAAGAAATCGCTGATGCTTAAGAAAGATACATGGAAACATTTCAATGGCAGGTTGAGCCGTTGGTGGAACTTTAAACTCAAAAAAAGCGTTCTAGATGCAGATTTTAGGAAGCACAATGTAGATCAGCTTTGCCTAGTTTTGTCATCAGTAGTCATTGTTGTTTCTAATTCTCTATCCCTCTCTTGATGTTTCTAGAGAATTAGAAACATCAATGGCTGTAAAAACAAAAACAAACAAACAAACAAACAAAAAACGTCAATGGCTGTAATGGCTGTAAAAAAATCAATAAAATACATTTTTTTAAAAAGGCATAAAAGAAACATAATTTATTATTTATTTTTATTGTTATCGGAGGTGGGGAGAGAGAGATAGAAACATCAATGATGAGAGGGGAATATTGATTGGCTGCCTCCTGCACACCCCCATAACCCAGGCCTGTGCCCGGACGGGGAAGGTCAGGCGGGGAATGACCGGTTCATAAGGGGATGTTCAACCACTGAGCCATGCAGTTCGGGCATAATGAATTTCATTTACTTTCCAGACAACTAATTGCACAGTATTTCCTCAGCCCTCTTTTTTCTTTCACCATAGTTATGAAAACGATCTCAAAATGTATCAGATGTTGATAGTTGATTGCCATGACAGTAAAAGTGATTTTCATCCTTATTTCTCCTGTCTTAACAGAGTTAATTTTTCTTCTGTATGTTACATATGTGTAAGTTTAAGAATATGCTGAAACCGGTTTGGCTCAGTGGATAGACCGTCGGCCTGCGGACTGAAAGGTCCCGGGTTCGATTCCAGTCAAGGGCACGTACCTTGGTTGCGGGCACATCTCCAGTGGGGGTGTGCAGGAGGCAGCTGGTAGATGAATCTCTCTCATCGACGTTTCTAACTCTCTATCCCTCTCAACTCCTCTCTGTGTAAAATCAATAAAATATATTTAATAAATAAATAAATAAATAAATAAAAAAGAATAAACTACCTTTTTTTAAAAAAAAACTTACTGCCCACCTTTTTTGACATAACATTTCGTTGGTTTTAGATAATTGCTAGTTATTTTTCCTAATTCCATTTGAATCCAATTGAGTTTGTAAAAGATATTGTATTAATCTGGGGCATTGTTTCCTATTTCTTTAGGCCAAGATCATTTCTATTCTTTGTTCAGATGTGAGTATATCTCTTCTAAATAGATTAAAGTTGTTTAAGAACTCTCAAGTACCTTAAAGAGTAAGTACATCCTTTGATTACATTTCTCTTCTTTTTGCTACCATATATCAGATGACATTTTTCTCTTGTTCAACAAAATTTAGGACAGACTCCCTTGTGAGTGCAATGATTGATAAACTACAAGTTTCTAAGAAAACCCAAATTAGTAGAAAGGACTACAACTGTTACCATCAAAAATTAATGTAACCCTAACTGGTTTGGCTCAGTGGATAAATCGTCCGCCTGTGGACTGAAGGGGCCCAGGTTCAATTCCAGTCAAGGGCATGTATCTGGGTTGCAGGCACATCCCTAGTGGGGAATGTGCAGGAGGCAGCTGATCAATGTTTCTCTCTAATTGATGTTTCTGACTCTACCTCTCCCTTCCTCTCTGTAAAAAAAAAAAACACACAAAAAACAACAACAAAAAAATCAATAAAACATATATATATTTAAAAAGAATTAATGTAGCTGCTGTTACATGTGTTTCTCATATAGCTATTCCTTAGACTTGTCCCTGAGAAAAAACTAGTATGTAGTAATGGGTCTGAATTTCTAGAGCTCTTAGCTACCTTTGGTAACTTATTGTATAGTAAATTTTATTCATCTTCTCTGAAAGTCATTGTGGAACAGATAGTGGGATAACAAACATGAAGTGGTTGTTTTGAAACAATCTTTATTTGATTTGGTCAGTACTCCAAAGAGAATGCTCTGTCATTATTATTATATGGCCACAATAATCTGAATGTTTGCTGATGATTTGGAAGAAAAGAATGTTCCTAGCTAAAGAAAGTAAGTAATCATTGCAAACTTAAATTGCTGACCATAGACTTTTTTTTTTTTACAAAAGGCTTTACTATTCATGATCTTGCAACTACCTTGGGGGACATTTTACCTCATATGAGTATTTGAGGCTCAAAGGACATAGGTATCTTGTCCAGTTTGTATACAATGGGAGCTTTTGATTGGTATTTGGGTCTTTGATCCCCTGGGCTGCAATGCCAAGCTGCCTCTCAGATGAAAACAACAAGCCCACGTGTGTGTGTGTGTGTGTGTGTGTGTGTGTGTGTGTGTGTGTTTCCATATCCATCCTAGCTCAAGGCTGTCTCCCAGCTAGTGTTCATGAGTGAGTCTCAGATTTGTTAAAGTGTGTTCTTAGCTTTACATATTTTCCACAATCCCTAATTAGGGCTTTTCATATGGCAAAAAGAGGTTTAATCCCTCCACCCCCAATTGCTGTTTTAAAAAGAAAATATTAAATACAAATATAATAATTATTTAGCTTTGATAAACTAACATTAATTTGATATATTAACCACTCTTAATGAAGAGGAGTATATCCAATGTGTAACATACTTATTAAGTTGAAAACATAAACAACACACACAGTCATCATTCTCTGACTCCAAACCACTGTATAAGTTAATCAGTGTTGTCAAACTTAGATATTTATAGGAGCATAGTTTGCATGTATATACCTGGGAATGGTCTCATTTTGCTTAGGAAGTTTCTAGGGGAAGAAAATGAATGTTTGTTTTTAAAAAAATGAGAGAGACTTTACCAATAAAGAGTGAAAAGCAGGAACACGTCTAGAAGCAGCTTGGAGGCTTCAGAACACAAGGTATGAATGAGTGGGGTTGTTGTTAATAGAGCAAATTCATAATTTCTCTCTGTGTCCTGACCATACTCAGATGGACCTTTCATTTGTTTGTTTGTTCATTCATGTAACAATAATTGAGTGCTTTCTGTGAGCCAGTGTTAGACACAGTGAATAAAACAGAAGGCTCTCTGTCCTCTTGGAATTCACAGTCTGTTGGGAAAGATAAATACTGAACAAGGAATTAATAAGCACAGTTGCTTATTAAAGAAAATGTACAAAGGTGCTTCCAGAGCTTCTGACCAGGGGCATGGGGAAGATTGTAGGTAAGGGAGGGAGGCTAGGGTTAGGGCCAGGAAACTAAGCAAAGAATAGGGTGAGATAAAGGAAGCTCTAGGAGAAAGAATAGCATGAGGAAAAGACCTTAGCCAAATTAAAAAGTGGAAAATTTGAGAAGTGAAAAGAAAAACAGTATAGCTATATAGATGAAAAAAAGGTAGTGTGTAAGGTGGGAGAGTGACACTTGAGGAGATTGAGAATTTGGCAGGAACCAGATGGTGGGATTTGAAAACTTAAAAATTTTATTCTGAGTGAAATAGGAAGTAACTGAACAGTAATAAATCTAATGAAATTATCTGATTTGCATTTGAAAAAAATTATTCTTTTAAAAATATATATATTTTATTGGTTTTTCACAGAGAGGAAGGGAGAGGGATAGAGAGCTAGAAACATCGATGAGAAAGAAACATCGACCAGCTGCCTCCTGCACACCCCCCACCGCAACCAATGTACATGCCCTTGACCGGAATCGAACCTGGGATCCTTCAGTCCACAGACTGATGCTCTATCTACTGAGCCAAACCAGTTTCAGCTGAAAAAAAATTATTCTTGATTCAAAATTAGTTGGTGCACAGCACAAAAGTGGGGATCTTTTTCCCTCAGTACAAACAAATCTTCACCCGAGAGTCAGCATTATCTTTCCATTTTAAATCACTAAACACATTCCTTCTCCCAACTATCCCTATAAAGAGTTACTTCATCCATCTAGTGGGATATACATCAAATCATATATACATGGAGTTAAGAATGGCATAAAAGGTAAAGTGGCCAAAGAACGGTACAAAGAGCAAGGACATTAATTCCAGCACTGAGGTTGAAATTCAGCTAAAGAATTGAGGTTAATAGTATTTTCCCTCTGCAAAATGCTGTATCCTTCTTGGCTTCCTACAGAGGACTTTTAGGTAATCTCTAGGATTATAGCTAGGAATGCTTCAGCAAAAGCAAGTTTAGGGGACTGGTATATCACTTGTATTGATTTGACGCAGAATACATTTGAACACACTTTATACTGAAATAAATACTGACACACCTCTCTTCATTAGTGTAATTTGATAATTTCTACACTAAGAAATACGGGAATTTACTTATTAATCATAAACTCATTCTTCCTGACCTTGTTTCTCATTTCATTTGCATTGTAGAAACCAGTGGTGCAGGGCAGTTTGGAGAAATCTCAGTTAACATTGATACTCCAAATATCTGAACCCTACCCCTGAAAGCAAGAAATTGTGATTGGGTTAGGACTCTGACTAGGTCAGTGGTAGGCAAACTCATTAGTCAGCAGAGCCAGATATCAACAGTATGACGACTGAAATTTCTTTTGCGAGCCAAATATTTTAAACTTAAACTTCTTCTTACGCACTTCTTCAAAATAGACTTGCCCAGGCCGTGGTATTTTGTGGAAAAGCCACACTCTAGGGGCCAAAGAGCCATATGTAGCTCAAGATCCACGGTTTGTCGACCACTGGACTAAGTTATCGAAGGAGTTCTAAAGCTTTGAAAGAAACAGAGGGATCCTTTTCCATGTCTTCACAACTTTGATCAAATCATCATTGTCTTTCATTGCTCAGTCTTTTCCCAACCCTAGGTAATACATTTTTATAAACACGTACCTTATTGGTTCACTTTACTTAATACCTAACAATAATCGCTTGGTATGTAGTAATCATACAATTGATTCACTATCAGTATTTTGAGTTTTTATGAAAGAGCATATACTTTCCCTCAAGTCTGTTAACATACTGGGGCAATATCTAGATCTTAGTGGCCGCAGTGTTCTGACAGGGCTAACACGGTTTCGCATATGCTAGATACTCAATAAATACCCGTTCAGTGAATGATTGCTTTGCAATGGCTACTTCCTTGTTCAATTCTGCATTGTTGATAGCCTACCTTTGTGGGTACTATGATCTTGGAACAGGGCCCAGTACTCTTTTCTTCAAATATTCCTCAAATGATTTGTGCCAGGCACTATGCAAGCTGCTTACAGTGTGTGGGGGAGACACGTGAATGAGCAAAAACCAACAGGAAGCTGAATTCTGGAGCTTGACATTAGTGTTATCGAATGGGAAAGAAAGATTTTTGCCCACCTGGTGCTAGCAGAGCTAAACATCTCACACCACGAATTGTAGTGGAGAAATACTGGCTGTTTTATTGTGAATGATGCCACCCAGGAGAATGGGAATTTAATGCTCAAAAGCTCAAATGCCCCATTAGCTTGTAGGTTACAGATTATCTAGGGCAAAAATCACAAGACACCTGGGTTAACAGTGGTTGGCAAACTCATTAGTCAACAGAGTGGCAAACAGCGGCTCACCAACCGCTGGGTTAGGAGGTTCGGGATTGTGCTGGGAGCTGATTGGCTGGAAGTGAGCTAAGGGTAATAAGCCACTTTGGGAGGTCTTGAGGGCAGTTCTGAGGTTTGTACTAGTGTCCTTTTATCTGATTCTTAGGAAAGTAGCTGGGAGGGTCGTTCCACCTTAAGTCTCAGGAGGAGCTGCAATATGACTTAGATCAAGATGTTATCTTTAGCCTGCTGGAGGTCCAGGCCCTGTGAAAAGGCTAGGTCTCTGAGGGGTGAATAAATACATATATGAGAGTGATGGTTTCTAGAGGCAGGATTTACACCTAAATTTACTCAAAGACATAAGGACCCCTGATTTCATTAGTCTAGTCTCCTTTTCCTGTATAAATATCCTCAAACCTGCACCAGAGTTTCCATTGCTAGACCAAGGTGGTGGTTTGCTAAATTTAGTCAAGACAGTTTCCCCCCAAGTTTGCATAAAAAAACTAAGGACTATTAATTCCTTTGTTTTGATTCATCCATAGCATTTTCTTAAACAATTGCTACTTCTGGTAATATTGACCAAAAGCAACATGATAAACAAGTAGTAAACTAATATTAACGGAGAAACTTGGAACTAATTATGTTTAACTTGAGGACTTTAAAAAATGGTCACTGGTGCTTAAGCTCTGACTTGTATACTTCTATGTGTGTATAGGTATGTGTACACTCTTACCTATATTTTCTGCTACTAAAATTATTCCTAGATTGCATTGTTTTCTACAAAGCATTGGGCTTTCCATTTGAACACATTTAGTCAAGTCTTAACCCAGTTTCATAGCATTTTGGTCATGCTCCCCTTTCCTACCTCTGAACTTCTGAAGTGTTACTTCATCACCTCAGCAGATCATATTTGACTCTGAAAAGGATGCTGGATTCTCTAAACCGGTACTGTACATAAGTAAGAATATTCTCAACCTTTTCGCTTCATCATGATCTGGCTAAAAGAAGTAAATGTGCTGCCTTATTAAAGTTGTCTGTTCTGTTGCCTGTTAGCGGACATGGTAGAAGGCAGAGAGAATATATCTGAGTGATGTTTGGAAAGTGAGTTTCAGACTTTTGCTCTGGTATGCTAAGCATTGGAGCTGGTCACTGATTGGTAATTAACATTTGCCTCACACTTAGAATGTGCCAGACGTGTTTTTAAGCTCTTGACATTATATGAACTCATTAATACTTAGAACAAGTCTGTGGGGTAGGCTCTGTTATTCTTCACATTTTACCGACGAGAAAAAATGAGGCACAGAGAAGTTTGTAGCTGACCCAAGGTCCCTCGGGCTAGTAAGTGTGGAGGGGGGATGAGAACCCAAGCAGTCTGCCTCCTCATCTGCCTCCCCCCCCCCGCCCCCGCCCTGCTGTCCTGCAGTGCTTCTTTCCCTGCACCTTTGACTTTCATGACCCACCTTCACCTCTGCTGTGTGCTGGTCTCGTTTCACATTTGCCTGAGCATTTGAGACTGAATTTGTGTTATTTGTAGGTGATGGTTTCCGAGTGTCTGACCCTATATATGTGAGTGCCTGGTGCATGAAAATACTTAAAATATGTATGTTGAATGATTATTGACAACCAGGAGAATTTTAGGTGTGATGTTAAGAGAATTTGAAATTAATTTGGTTGTTCCTGTAATTCGCTACGAAGAAAATACTCATGTCTGAAGACTTTAGTTGCTACATGACCCAGTGTGTGTGTGCGCACCTGTGCTTTGAGGTCTCAAGCACAGGCATTCATAAACATTTTTCATACAGATAGAGGCTACAGGGACAAAATTTCCTCTTCTCAGGGACATCGTTAGTTATGTTGCCAGGCAGCCCCACCATTTCTACTCTGCTCTTGCTGTCCCCTCATGACTTGTCCTCTGTGTGTCACCCCTCAGTCTGGTCGACAGGACTGCGCACGCCTACGCCTGCCTGCCATGGGCTGTCGGGACGTCCACGCAGCCACGGTGCTCTCCTTCCTGTGTGGCATCGCCTCGGTCGCAGGCCTCTTCGCGGGGACTCTGCTTCCCAACTGGAGGAAATTGCGACTGATCACCTTCAACAGAAACGAGAAGAACCTGACTGTCTACACAGGCCTGTGGGTGAAGTGTGCCCGGTACGACGGGAGCAGTGACTGCCTGATGTACGACACGACTTGGTACTCTTCAGTTGACCAGCTGGACCTGCGGGTCCTCCAGTTTGCCCTGCCCCTCAGCATCCTGATCGCCATGGGTGCCCTGCTGCTCTGCCTGATTGGAATGTGTAACACGGCTTTCAGGCCCTCCGTGCCCAACATCAAGCTGGCCAAGTGTCTGGTCAATAGCGCAGGCTGCCACCTGGTGGCCGGGCTGCTGTTTTTCCTGGCAGGTACCGTGAGCCTCTCCCCATCCATCTGGGTCTTCTTTTACAACACCCATCTGAACAGGAAGTTCGAGCCAGTCTTTACATTTGACTATGCAGTGTATGTCACAATCGCTAGTGCCGGGGGCCTGTTTATGACTTCCCTTCTACTGTTTATTTGGTATTGTGCATGCAAATCTTTGCCTTCTCCTTTCTGGCAACCACTGTACTCCCATCCTCCCAGTATGCACACTTACTCACAGCCCTATTCAGCACGCTCCCGCCTCTCTGCCATTGAAATCGACATTCCAGTAGTTTCACACAACACCTAATGGCGAGATACTAGTTGTTAAAGAAAACTTTTAGCCTCACATTTCCCTTGTACAAGGAGCTGTTTTGGACCAATATACATTTTCCTTTGTTTCTGACCAGTCTATGAAACCAAATTTGTATGTCCTAGTAGAATGAAGTGCTGCTAGTTTTACGAAAAGTACACTATTTTAAATGTGAATCGTTCTTTTATCTTGCTCCTTATGCTAGGAGGATTTTTATCCTCTATATTGATATCTGGTCAGTAATTCAAGTGGAAAGGACCCATGTCTCAATTGAGGTAATTTAGAGCAACATGGCAGTGTAAAAAATGATGGCTAAGAGAAGCTGTTGTATGTGATCTTTACAAATATTTCAGAATGTGTCTTCTTGTCCTGTTTCTATAATACCTTAAGCCAGTAGAGAGAGAGAAAGAAAGAGAGAGAGAGAGAGAGAGAGAGAGAGAGAGAGAGAACACGCAATTTCAGATATAAGAAATTTCTTCAGGTAATGGTAATTAGATCTTTACAATAGTCAGACTACCAGCTCAAGGCTGTGACTTTCTTTAGTTCTCTCTTGGGGCTAATTGCATCAGATAGAGTTCGGTATTTTGAAGATTACTTGCTTTTGTGAGTTCCTTACCTTCTACCTCATGCCAATGTTTAAAAAATACATATATATATTTTAAGTGATACAGAGAAAATAAACCAAACATTTTAAGAATCTTATTAGTATGGACAACATTTAACAATTTTAAGAGTTAATGATTCTATAAATTATATATTCTTGGAATTAAAAATGTGCCATGAGATGGAGTGGTGCTTCCTTTGAGGCAGAAAAACCTTGTTTTACGGGTATCACCCACTGAGTGGTACTCATGCCCATATATAATCTCTTAGTGACTAAGAGGAAGAAAATATAGAGGCCCAAGTGGCTTGTTCTCTTTTAGGCAGTGGCAGGGTACAAGCATCTGCTCTTTAGTGACAGACATCAGAGATTCACAATTATGACTACCTTTTGAGTGGTGGGTGAAGTATAGCTTCACCATGACCACATTCACTCTTGAGTCAGTTCCTGCCACCATCACTGAGTACTTCCCTGAACATACGTCTTTGCCCAACACTTCAGCAGGTGCTCTGGAGCCGCAGTTCCAGTCTTTCAGACCTCACGGGCACCCGCTGCTCCGGAGGATACGTGAAAAGTAGGAGGCCTTGTCCCATTCACTAAGAAATTTTGATAGAGAAGGTCAAACTATTATCTGACAATTAGGGAACAGTCTGACGTGATTGATAGCTCATCTTAACTCCTCAATCATTGATCCAGGAATATGTTGCAACGAGAGACTTGGCTTTCTGCTTGACAGGCTTACAGTGTAGTGCCAGCAATATTCTGGAACCTAGAAATTTAACTCATTGGATCCCTTAGAGCACATCCCTTAGCCTAGACACTGTAATAACACTAGATAAGGTTCATGAGAATGGGCAAAAGCAGTAGAGAAATTAAATGTTTACTCTTCACCTCTGAAAGTATGGCGGTGATGTATTAGAGAAGAGGGAGTATTTAAAGTCTGTCTGAATGGGCTAACATTTATGTGAAACCATGTTAACAATGAGATGAATGCTTAGAAATTCAGGGATACTGGGTCTTTACCCTTGTGAATTTGAGCTGCTTAATGGGTGTATAACTTACTACACTTCAGTACTGTGTTCATAAGGATTTTGTTCTATTAACCATTAACCATTACTGGATTGTTTTAACATTCCACAAACAGCTAGTTGCATGGTAAACAGATTCGTATGCCTCTTTGCAAACCTGAGTATGATTCTGGTACTTCTGTGGATGTGAGTGGTACTCCCCCCAATTCCAACACTAGTTTCTGTATATATAGTGGTAAATCCAGGTCTGTAATTTCTAAATGCCACCAGGAGAAAGCATGGGTTTTTAGTTACAGCTCCTGATTTCCTCCAGTCCTATTCCTTTTAACTCTTCTGTGATTGAGCTGAGTCTTGACCATTCCAAGACAATGGCAAGTAGAATTTTGAGATTAATATTAATTTCCCCCTTTGCTAATTAATTTCAGTTCCCTCACTAACTTTCTCCAGAAGTGTCAAGAATTCCACCATTCCCCTGTTCTTTATATGAACAATGTTAAAGAAAAGTTGACTCAGCCAGTTTTCAGTCCAGGGGATGTAAATATAAACAAGAGGAAACCTTTTCCTACAAGAATCTTTTGGATTCTTTTCATAATTTGTAGCCTTAAATCAGTATTTATTGTAGATTCACTAGACAAAAGAAACTGCTGTTTCCCTTTTTGTCTTTAATATTTCAGATTTGCTCTCAGTAGCTATTCTTCAAAGCCATCAAAGGAAAGCAAGTATTTACGATTCTCTTTTGTAATTTTGAGCACTCATCAGGCCATCATTATGGGGGGGAGGATCTTTTTTGTTGTTAAAAGTTATTAATGTTAAGGGCCTTTTACAGCAGCCAGCTTGAAAAGCAACCTTAAATGTGATATGATGCACCAGATTTGGTTTATCCAGCCATGGGTGGAAAGAACCCTAAGTTTACTTTACTTGTAAATAGTCACTGTAATAGACAATTGTTTGTTGTAAGATGCAATGTAAAACCTCGATAAAACTGTACTGTACTACTTGATGTTATTAAAATATGTATTTTTACAAGTTTCTGTTTCTATCCTCATTTTCCTCAATGCTTTAAGGTAAAATGAACTGAGAAATGTTTTTCAAATTATATGCAAATTTAAAAAGACACAGCCCCATTTAAAGCTGTGTGGAATAGGAAAACTGGATTTATTATTTTGGAAGCATCAAGACCCTTTATCCATTTTTAAGAGTGGTCCTAGGAGTTTATTGGACTGTTTAACATTCCACGGAAAAGGACTCAGTGAAATCTGTGCCATATTTGCCTCATCAGGGGGTTACCTAATGGACTGTGATTTTAGAGACGTGGAGTTAGTTAAATAGAAGGACCTTTCCTTACTCTGCAGAACTTGAAGTCGCCAGGAGAAGTGGTCCTAACAGGTAAATCACCTTTACATTTTCTGTAACCTAGAATGGCTTTTAGTGTTTTGGATTACAGTCTCCTGGAAGAGTTCTCACGTGTACTCCTCGGGGCCTTAGATGGGGAGCCATTTGTTGCACTGGAAAGTGAAGCTGCTTCAGGCTGGGCGTCCTGGCTGATATGCTAACGCACCACAATGCAGCTGAGGGGCAGACTCACTGAGGGTGACTCAATGCTGGAGAATCCTTTTGTGCTGATTCACCAGCCAGAAGAGAGAATTATAGATTACTTGCAACCACTATCCAAGACCAGTTTTTAAAAATACACCCTTGGAGAGAAGACTGCTGCTAGTCCTGGCCAGGGAAGTACAAGATGAGCCCAACACATCATGTTCCTCCAGAAAGGGAGGAAATGCTTGAAGAATGATGGGGCCTCATCAAGTTACAGAGGATCCAGTCTGAAGAGGACCTCACTGGCCAAATCTGGGAAATCTGAGCATCAAAATAAGTAATAGTGGCCCAGTCGACGTGGCTCAGTGGTTGAGCTTCGACCTATGAACTAGGAGATCGTGGTTCGATTCCTCGGTCAGGCCATATGCCAGGGTTGAGGGCTCAATCCTGAATCGGGGTGTGCAGGAGGCAGCCAATTAATTATTCCCTCTCATTATTGATGTTTCTATCTCTCCCTTTCCCATCCTCTCTGAAATCAATCAAAATATATTTTAAAACATAATAAAAAATAGTAATGGGTAATAACCCATTGAATAAAGCAAAAATCCACTTGCACATGCTGCTATAAGTAAGTAGAGAGGAAAGGAAAGCTGTGTGTTACAGTAAAATGGTTCGTGTTCCTGGGCCCAGGAAGGATCTGTGTCAGTGCCATAGCATTCATAGCCCTTTAATCCTCACTGCACAAAGTTGGAACTTGGAAAGAACAAGCACAAAACTATAGCTGCCCAATATTCATATCCAATTAATAGGGAATTTGGGTTTGTTTGTTGTATTTTGCTTGGAAATACGCCAGCATTTTAGACTGACCTGTGAACAAATTACTCAGCAAATTTTAAAAGAAACGGTGAATGAGGAAAGGAGAAGAGTTTTCTATATTTTGTATGGAAACAAAACGGTGTGACTAAGTCCTGTTAGCAGGAGGTTAGTAATCATGATTTCGAAAGGTCTTTGCTCACTAAAATCCTCTGTAGAATAACAGAGTATTCTGTTCCAGAAATAGATAGCAGCTTTTCATGAAAAGAAAAGGCATTATCGATATGTTACTGCAGTATATCTAGTGGTTTCACTCCAAGATTCACACCCACCAGTTTGAAAGGTCATTTATAATAAATCAAGATGATTCAGTTATATTTTAACATAATTTTTCCTCTACCCCCACGTCCCTTTTCTTGCCTTCATCCTCAGGCTAATCCTGTCTGGAAGGTCAGGTGGGGATTTTAGCACCAGGAGACTCCTGCAGGGCATGGAAAGGCCACCTTCCCTTTTACTGGCCATGTGAGTGAGGGCTTCGGCTCAACTGGTCCCATGTGTTTCCACCCTGCTCACTGCTTCTGGCCGCAGGAGCCAGGTGGTACTGGCCAGTTGTACTCCTCTTTCCAACTCCTTGGTCAATGACATCCATAGCTTGAAATTAGCCCTCATGGAAGTATGTATGCCACAGAAATTGGCAAATACTACAAATTAGAATCTGTTTCTTTCCTTTCTTTTTGTCCCTTTCCTTTTCCCCTTCCTCCCTTTAGTTTGGAGAACTGTTGGTTAAACATTTACCACTACGCACTATTGCTCAGGTAAGATTAATTTGCTGATGCCATAAGAGTTAGATTAAAACATAAATAAGGCACTTTGGTAGCCCAGAAGAGAGATGAATTTATTTCTCTAGGCGGGACTTGTTGACCTATGTGACTTTCTCCTTCAGCTCAGAACATGTAAACTCCCTTTAGCAGTTTCACAAAAACACGAACCATGTTTCTGCCTGTAGGGTTTTTCATTGGTTGTTCCTCTGTCCACATCCTAGCAGCTCTTTCCCTCGGGGCCCTGGGGCCTTCTGGAGCACAGTTTCTAAAGTAGTATCCAACAGTGTTCCCCAAAACACAACTAACCTCCTAATGCCCTCTGTTTCATTGTTCTGCATAGCACTCATCATTGTCAATGACCATGAAATTTTACTCATTTATTTAAATGGTCTATGTTCATTAAAATTTAAGCAGCATAAGGGCAGGTATTTTTGTCTAATATGCTCACTGCTGCATGTCCAGTGCTGGAACAGTGTTGGTGTATGGTAGAGACCCATACATGTTTGTTAAGTAAGTGATTACATTTGCTGAGCTTCAGGTTAGTTGATGAGAAAATTAGGAATCATATGGAGTGCTGAGAGCCGTGATAAAGGAACT